TTTTAAATAATATTTCTTAAATATCTGATTTAAATGTCAAAGAAATATTGCTATAATATTCAAGAATCTGTCGCTTCAACCTACATTAAATATTGCAAAAAAATATTACTGTATTTTTTTTGTGCTATCTGGGATTAGTCCGCTATGGAACAGAGAAAGCAGGCAAGAACTTGCAATAAATTAATGGCGCCCTCATAAGTGTTTAACAAGTAGAACGACCATAATCCTCAGATAATCCGAACGTTTACAGCAAATTGCCATCAAGATTAGCGCAATAATCGGCACCACCGGAGAACAAATGATAATTATTTGAAAATAAATACATTAAAGCTCTTTAATAAATGGCTTGCGCAACACATTTTCCCGTATAAAACAAAATCGGGACGCTCAAGCGACTGATGTTTTATTGGCTTAGAGCAAGTTAAGCCAATAAAAGCCTGGCACCTTTGGCAAAGCTTCGCCAGTCCGTTTTGCATGAGGAAAGCGGTTAAGGGCTTTTTCAAAGAGTCCAAGGCAATTGGAACGTGCTGGTTTGAACCGTTTGAACCGTTTGAAAGTGTTAAATGTTCGGGTTTGATACAGAGGCTACATGTTTCGGCTCCGGGCCGCTTTTCCGGTTAGAATTTCCCTGTTTTGTTGCGAGCTAATGGTGTATTTTGCACGTTTGCAGAGCTTTGGAAGACCGTCGCAGCCACTACGAGCCATCAATTGGAGGCGCGCCAGTAGTGGACGATTTGGATGATCATGAACTCTATGTGCCTCATTTCCAAAGGGTTTCCATATCGGGCGAAGATACCAGTGGGGTGAGTTTTAAATGTGCTGGTGGATTCATGTCTTTTCTGGCGCTCTGTATAAAACTGTCATCCGCCGCATATCAATCATCCCTAAAGCAGAAATGTACTTCAATGAATCGTCCAGTATTTATGGCGTTTCGGATGCTAAAAATCGGAGAAGAGAGCGGTCCAAACGGACAATAACAATGGTAAATTGTCCAGTTCCCGTGACATGTTTTTCGGAAAAGATCAGAATCCAAGGATTTTTCTTCGCAAAACCTTTCTAATATCGCGAGGTTTTTGCGTCACCAACCGCACGGTTTGAAGCCCTAAAATCTATGTAAAATGTTCGGGCAACAGCCCATAACGATTGCACGCCTTTTCGTCCAGAATACTTCCATCATTAAGTCTTTTGCAGTCATCATTTGGCGAATTGTCCAGTTCCCGTGACATGTTTTTGGGAAA